AGCCAGCTGTAGCAGCGCGCTTACGCCAAAAATAAATCTTCTTCATCTTGTTCTTAGAATGCCTTCACGACGATGATCTTATGATCAGAGCTCTTCAGAGGCTGACGCTGTCGTAGGCTCTCATTACTGGGCGTAACGCAGGTACAACCACGCTTTGAAATGAAAAAAAAAGTAAGTGATAAAGTGGGAGTAAGAAGGAGAAAAAATACGAAGAAAATAAAAAATTGTAGAAATAAAGATAACAGGAAGATATGACGAAACTGGAAAATACGTTAGGAAAGAAAGAGAAAACTGAAGAGAAACAGAAAAGGCTTCACAGCTCCGAGCTTTTATCAGGCTTGGCAACACGAAGCTATATCTCAAATTTTCGTTGTTATTGTATTCGTAGGCACCTGGGTAACGATCAACGAGATCAATCACAATCTCAGAGTAATGCAGACAATAAAGCCGTAATCAAGAGATCAGCGCACTTCATTGCAAATTAACCCACTAACTCTCATACTCCAACGAGAGATGGCGGAAAATGAAAGGCAGGGAGGTTAACAGAACAACCGCTTCGCTACCCTACACATCGCAACTGAATGGGGGAGACTGAGAGGAAATAGAGACTGCTCGTATATATACAGCACACGCACACAGTCACAAACCGTCCCTCTTGCGTTGCACGTGGAGACATAACCGCTTTTTCATGATGAAGCAAGCGCTAAATATACACACACTCAGAGAGGACACAGACAAGCGCTTACTAGCAAGTGCACCTGCCATCCGAAAATTTCCGACACGCAAATAATTGACATGCACAAGAAGCGGACGACGAGGGAAATAATGGAAGTGTATAGGATAAGAAAAGGAGGGGACAGTTGCGTCAGTCAAGCGTCAGTTCTACTAACAGATGTGGACTTTGCTTTTTAGACGTCACATAACCCAGTGAATTTTTTTATGTTTTACTTTTTCTGTTTTTCTGTTTTTTTTTTTGTTTTTTTATGTTTTACGGTTTTTTTTCTTAGTTTTTGACACGTATTTGTGTCCGGTTGTGTGCCATCGATTATGGGAGTACATATTTTGTTATATCACGTTGTTGATGATGACCGGGGACAATGGGAATGACGTACATGCGTGTGATGTATTTATTAGTGTTCGCTTCGAAATAAACTTTTCAGTTGCTAGAAAGCACTTGTCTGTGTCCTCTCTGAGTTTGTGTATTTTTAGCGCTTGTTTCATCATCAACCTTTACCAACATGCTCAATTGGCAGTCATCTTATATAACCACTTGTCTAAGTCCGTTTTAGATGCGAAGCCGCTTAGGGTCAAGCTCAATCCGGTCTGCGGCGTCACCATTCTTACTGCGCATGCGCGTCCGCTTCCCCTCTCCTCTCCCACGTTCCCCCCTCTCTCACCTCGCAATGCCGATGCACGCAGCGTCAGGCTAGCGGTTTATTTTATTTTTTATTTTTCTGGCCACCCTGTACATATATGTACTGGATCTTGACCTCCAAGGTAGTGCCGGTGGGAGACTTCTCATGCGCGTTGTTGATTATTAAAAATTCGTTGCGTGCGCGTTAACTAAAAGCGGACTGCGGGTCTCTGTCTGCAATTGGCGTATTCTGTCTCTCATTGCGGTTTATAAGTGATTGGCATGTTCCAGTAGGAAACACCGGTCCATAACTATGTGCTTTGCGGCTCCGCAAGTTTCTTTCCTTCGCAGCGCCGCGATGAGCGCCAGCGTCAACGTCACCGCCAGTGCAAGCGTTAGCGCCCGCTGCTTCGCATCTACACATGGTTCCCTTTAGCAGGAGATGGTGTGATTTTTTTTTTGTCTTAAAAACCTCAGTTGTGCCTTCGTCGCCTTCAGCTGCAATGTCTTCTGTCAATGACGTGTAAGGATATTCTCAACAGACAATTGCCTATTATCAAGGTGTGCTGGAACGGACGCCAGTGACTGCCTTTGAACATTATAAACTGGACATCCACACAGTATTTGGGATAGCGTCTCCTCGCAATGACAGGCATTGCAAAGAGCGCTGCCGCCCATTCCAATGCGAAATAAATAGGAATTCGGGAATTTTACGCCAAGTCATAACGATAAAGCAGTGTGAGCTCCCTATAGTGGAGTCCGGTTGGCATACAGAGGTGCATCAAAGAAGTCAGGTGGTGTTGACCATTAGCCTGGCTGCTTCTTTGGCGATATAGGGAGAACATGATTTTCTGTGCTAGCCGTTGAAGACTGCTGACAGCGTCAGATCTTGAAAGTGGTATGGTATCTTCCCGTGTGCCTTCAAGAGCTAACCCATCGGCCATTATCGGCGTGTTTATTCTGTATGGTGCCGCAGTGACTTGGCGGTTACTAAAAAGTCCCGCCTGTTGCTAATTCTGAAGTCCTGAATGGTGCACGTTGTACTTCACGAGTAAACGAAATTAAAGCTGTCTCCGGTCAAGAGCTGCGTAAGTGAAGCTCACATGCAAGCAAAGCAATACTATATATAGGCCCTGTTAAAAAATAAGAATATTAACTTTTTTTTCTCGCTTCTTATGGCCATTGGCTCGCCGGCGGCCGCGTCACGATCCCATCGTTTTCGCTGCAATAAATAAAACCAACACATCATCGAGAAACTTGTCTATGAGGTGTTCGTTCGAAGGAACGGCGGTCGACCGAAAATAAAAGTGAAAGAGAAGAGGGTTACAAAATACGACCTCCGTTGTCGCGCCTTCCTCTGGCAAGAAAAATTATGCGCCGCACAAAGCCAGACAAATTACGATGTTTCGCGCGCGGCAATGAATGCGCACACCGTTAGCGCGCGAACGATTAAGAGGGCAACCGCGGCGAGGGAGACACTCCGCCCACGCAACGATAATCAGATCTTGGTTGTGCTTCGTCAGCTCGGCCGGGGTCTCTGGTTCCGTCGGCCGCTGAAGGAAGGAGGAAACATGGCGTTTGATGAACTGGAAGTGCCATTAAAACGACATCAACCTTGAGAGTTATTGCGGAGCTTCATTTCGCCATTTCCTCCTGCGAGCGCGTCGCGTATTGTCGGCGATACGCGGAGCCGCTATGAATATTTCAGAGGCTAACGAGATTGCGGAGGGCGCCCGTTTTGAGACAATACGGCGCCTGCAGCGAATGACCTGAAAGCGGCGAAAGACGGATTCACGGGGAAAGTCGCGGGGACACACACGACGCAGCGCGCCTAATCCCAGCGCCGCGCGATTCGCAGCGCCTCGCCTCTAATCGGCGCCGTCGTTCATCAGCCGGGGTCGCCGCATGGGATGCGAGTCGCCTTCGAGGTCGGCACACGGCGGCGGCAGCGACCCAGAGACGGAACAAAACCGCCGCCGAGCATTGAAGGGGGCTTCCTGCCGATAACAAGACGCCCTCGCAGGACTCTCCCTTTCGCACGCTTCTATTTCGGGCCGAGGGAAGAGCCTCCGCGTTACATAATAATGGCCGCCACTTCCACGCTCCCCTGGGCAAACCCCGCCGGCCTTTTGTCCGTCCTGAGAAAGCGTCGCCGGCGTTCTCACAGTCCTAATATAATTAGCCCGTCTGAGGTGAATGTCAAGCAAAGGTCTTTGTCTTGCAGGCCAGGGGCTGATGACTCCTCTCCACAGTCGGCCGACCTTCGAGTTAAATAACTGGCGTGTGAAGACGCCGCAGAAAATAAGAATGTACTTCATTAGGAAGGGGCAAAAATTTGGCCCCATGGGACGCGGCTGACCTGCGAGCGAGACACCCCCGGTCCTCGGCGGTGTGAAAACCGAGTCGGCGTGTTTCCGCGTATCCCCACGTCACCCGGGGGTCGTGCGACGCGCACCCGGCAGCGAAATTAGAGGCGCCGCTGGCCACTGCCTCGGGACACTTCGTCACCAGCAGATTGTAGCGGGTGCGGTACTTGAGGGTTTGTTGCACATGGGCTGCCCGGACAGCTGTCGCAAGCGAAGCAATGGTGGTTGGGTGTACTCGATATAGCATCGGTGAAGAGGCGATTGCTCACAGCAGGACTCGAGCGCTGAAAGCGGGCCCGAACAAACAACGAGTGCATCAGTGGCATTGCACCGAAGGTGCTTCGATTGCAGTTACTCTTCTTCAGATGGGAGTGTGCCGCCAGACGTACGTATGTATTTGTACGTACCTGCGTGCGTGTGCGTGCGTATGTAGTATGTATGTATGTATGTATGTTTGTAGGTATGTATGTATGTATGTATGTATGTATGTATGTATGTATGTATGTATGTATGTATGTATGTATGTATGTATGTATGTATGTATGTATGTACGTATGTTTTTGCACAGATATAATCACGTAACCTCGACGCGAAAGTAACTTCAGGCTCGACAAGACTACGCGCAACAACTCACAACCCGAAACACATGACCTGATACTCCGCGATTTTCACTTCTTTGTGACACACAAGACGTACAAAAAAATGTGAGCTGCTCGCCAACACTGGTGGTTTCCCAGTGACAGAGAGTTCTGTCGCACGCGTATATGGCAAAAAAAAAAAAACACCAATGGGCGCATTCTTTATTCTCTCTGCACGCGCCTCGGTCCCTTGGGTGAACTGCGCTGCTTAAAAAAAAAAGTGAGAAGCAAGCAGAAAGCAAAACGGCATCTACTGCGCGACTCGGAAAAATGTGTTTTGAGTTCAGGGATACGCTGGGATTGCAATCATCGTGCTTGAAATTGTCGCGCAGAACGGTGACGGCGGCGTGAGGCAACCAGCGGCGGCAACAATGCGCCGCGTCCCGATAGAGCCGCGACAAATAAGGCCGGCCCGACGCGGCGCCGCCCCCCACGCTTCTTCCGCTTTTGTATGACCGATGTCGCAATCGGCCCTCCCCTCTCAAGGGTAATTAAAGCGACCCGCGTGTGAGACACGCGCGACCCGACAGCTGAAAGGGATTCACAATGGCGGTTGTGGCAGTGAAAACAGCCCCGGCTGAAAGGGCCCCTTTCAAGCAGGCGAGCCGAAGCGGCAAATCCTCGATTACGGAAACGACAAACCCGAATACCCGCGTTGTCCCGACGCAGCGAGTTCATTTAGGCCAGCGGTGCCATCACTGCTGCCAGGGCTTTCGCGGACGGAGGAGACGCGCTCGGCAGCCTTAATGATTCCCCCTCCAATATCAATGTCGGCAACCCGCCCCCGCTTGGTGAAGAGGATCGCCCTCTTGGCGAAACAGTCCGTCCTCGTCGATGAGGTGATGATCCTCGCCATTGTTGCCGGCCCATTTGGTCGTGACTGGGGGACGCGTTGCCCAAGTGGCAAGCAGGTCCGACCTCGATGGGCGCCCTGGCGCAAGCGCCCTGGTGCAAAAAAGCTCTTTTCCTGGAGGAGCTAAGGGAGCCGAGGATCTGGTGATTTGCGAACAGCCGCGATGTAGCACATATCACGAGTATACTGTGCTTTCCCGAGCTGGGTATACGCGGTAAAAAATACCTATCCATCGACCTGCCCCTCAACATTTAATTGCCGCACTCCGTATTTCTTAACACATATGTACTTTTCATGTTGTCTACCAGCCCGTAAACCTTACGTTTTGCACCACATGAACCCTTTGTCCCTCTCCTTCCGTAGTCACCATGTGTATGTATACGCTCCAGACTACTCAATTTTTTCTAAAGGAAGTCCCCCACATCCACGCGGCCTCGTAGATGTTATCTCGGCGGCATGGTAACTGCTGCCCATTCAATTCAAATATACGGGTGTGGGCACGTCGGGCCAGCTCAGAGCCAGCTATAAACCGAATCACTCATGAACTAGCCACTCAATCATTTTAATTGGGCCTCACCCATCTCGCCGGACCCCGTTGAAAGGCGCCATGAATAAAGATGCGGGATTGTGTGGGGTTATAATCACCGTGCCACCCCGGATGTTTTCCGGGGAGGTGCTTTTCTCGCTGTTTCCCAGTTGAACGGACGACCGGCCGTCGAAAGGAACGAGTCGCCGGTGAACGGCGAGGGCCACCGTGAACCATGGGGTCGACGCCGTTCGCGGGGCCTCCGCTGCGCGCGCAACCCGAAGCCCGCGGTCACTTGAAACCAGCCACGTTCTCGTGAAGACGGATGAAGTGCGGGGTGATTCATAGCGCCGACTGCGCGTTTGGAAACACTATGTACAGTTTAGCCCATCGGACCCGCGCTGCACTTCGATCGCCGCCGACACAAGTCAGGCCGAGCGAGACTGTGTCGAGGCTTTCGACAAAAATGCCAAATAAAGCACGCGAACAGATCGGTAGGTCCCCGGAGTCCCGGATACTCGAAGCTATCCGTCTTCCACGCGCGCGGCTGTTTCGTCTCAAAGCGCCACATAGTATCTCAGGGCACGCGCGTGTGCAGGATGTGGCGGGCTGCCGTGTGCAGGCCAGAGATGGCCTATACTGTGTCGGCGTCTGCGGGCAATGTAGTTATGCTTTCCTTCGTGGTGGCGATAGTTTTTCATTAACAGGAAGATAAAGATCTGCATACCGATTTCTGCAAGACAGTACGCTTTTATTAAGCTGTTGTGAAAGCTACGCTGGGTACACACGAAAAAAATATTGTATAGATGAAACACGTGTCTATGCAGCAGGCTCTATTGAGTAGGTTTATTACATACATACATACATACATACATACATACATACATACATACATACATACATACATACATACATACATACATACATACATACATACATACATACATACATACATACATACATACTTACATACATACATACATACATACATACATACATACATACATACATACATACATACATACATACATACATACATACATACATACATGGCATTTTAGATAACTAAGTAATGAAAAAACACTACGCGCCTCAAATCGGCACAGTACAGGGACATATAGAGCACGTCAGGATATTTTCTCCAGCCCACCAAGTTCAGTATTTAACAAAGATTGGTCAACGAACTTCACAAATACTAACTCTTGCAAAAAATAGTCAACAAAAAGATTGTAGAACTTGCTCAGAAACATTCAATTTTCTCACCTGTTCTAATGTGCATGTCTCACCTGATTATTTTTTCCTAGCCTTTTTTTTAAATCATGCGGATTTAAAAAAACAAATATCACGTGCCTTACGCGTGACGCCTTTAGTGCTCTCACGTGCAAGTTTAACGAATAACTGCGCCACGCACAGATGTTGAATGAGCAGAGTGTCGGTGGATCGGACGTTAAGAAAAACAAAATTCTTCAACGAAAAAGGGGTGACCACACACGAGGGAACCTTTTCGATCATATTCCACCTTTATCACACCCTCACGCTCAACCCGTCAGTCGTGTTTCTTCTTTTGCGATAACATTAAAAAAAAAATCCCATGCTATCATCGAATGCTGCCTATAGGGTCTCGTATGGCGTTTGACCGTGGTCGGTGCTTTTTCGTTGACGATTTTTTTTTTTTTTGAAACGGTGCATCCTTTTTGCCGCTTAACTTCCATGTCACGGTCACCCAAAACCTCTTCAATCGACCTCTGCGCACGCAGTCGTTTTTGATAGTTCATTCACCTTTAGAAAAAAAAAAAGAATCCTAATAGACATTTGGTGAATGCATGGATTTATCCGTTTTTAGCACGTTTCACTACCTTCGTAGCATTTCTCATACTAGCCAACGGAACTGGTAAAGCTTGTAAATTTTGGCGTTACCAACCAGGTAAGCTTAAGTTTCTTAGTGCTTTTTTATTGCGCAACTACTAAGCCACCTATGTGTCCAGATCCTTCGAAAATATCGTAGTATATTACTCCGTACCTCTGACACTGCAGTCTTTTGCACAATTTAGCCAAAGTTTAGTTTTTTTTATTGTTACAATAACAGTTTCGTTCTACGCAATAGCATACATATGCATGCAAACAGTAGGGTGCGAGATACGGGACAAAAGCTTTGACTCATTCCTGTAAGATCTATGACTGCTAACCATGTGAAAGGTATGTTATCCCAAAGCAGGCACATAAAATGCCACCAAGCTGCTATTAACGTAGATCATGTGAAGCGCAACCAGTGACGCCAACCCTACGTATCTTTTTCTAAATCATGGGATTTTCTTCGTATGCATAGTTCAAGGATTGAGTGTTTTTTTTTTTTTTGAATCTAGGGGTTTTTCCAGAGGCTGTAGAAATGTTACATTACGCAGCCTAATGAAAGGCGTTACACAGTAATTACACTTGTTCAACTGAACAAGCCAGCACGATCACTTTCGCTATTAGGCGTTTTTCACTCAAAAGAGCTTTGGCGTTCTGCTTGGGCGATATTATTGCGTACTGATTACTGGGGGGGAATTGAAACTTCCTCGTCGTAAGTGTTTACCATGCACACGCGTATGGCCGCGCTGAGTGATTGCTGTTCTGCGAAAGAAAGAGAAACGCTTTCTTGTAATGCACACAGAAATGTGCCAATGTCACGTTCGCCGCATACATTCACTGTGTAACGTCTTCGTGTCTAATAACTTCTCGACAAGCCGACTTTGAGAGAAAGAGAGCAAAGGTAGAACTGACAGCTGAGCGAGTTTTTACGGGTTCGATTTTGAAAGAACGGCGTGACAGAAAGAGTACAGAAGAGTGTTCGTCTGTTTTCAGTATTTCTGTCGCACAGCCTTCATCAGAGCGAAAATAGTGACAAAAAAAAAGCTTGGCCAAATGTGGAGCCGATCAAGAATGCCCAAGGATGGCTATCAGCCAGTCGAAAAGTGCACCTGTACATGAACTGCCAATCATCGAACACTGATTGCAAATGTGAAAAATTACAAATCAACAGCAACCTCGAAAGCTGCAAACACAAACGAGTCCTTACAGACTTACGACTGACCCGAACGATAACGTGTATTGATGATTGATGTGTGGGGTTTAACGTCCCAAAACCACCATTTGATTATGAGAGACGCCGTAGTGGAGGGCTCCGGAAATTTTGACCACCTGGGGTTCTTTAACGTGCACCCAAATCTGAGTACACGGGCCTACAACATTTCCGCCTCCATCGGAAATGCAGCCGCCGTAGCCGGGAATCGAACCCGCGACCTGCGGGTCAGCAGCCGAGTACCTTAGCCACTAGACCACCGCGGCGGGGCAACGATAACGTGTATGCCTTCCATGAGTGGGCGAAGTGAACTTTGATGTAGTGCGTTCCTGTCTGTGCGTGAGTGATTTTATTAAGGTAACAGTACTTGGTCACATCGTGCATAATGCCACGATTACACACTGGAATTCTCCGGTAAACTCCAACCGTCGCCCACAGAACCTTGAGTCGTTGCCCTAGCTACAACTGCCGTCCAAGATATCTCGACGTGACGCTATATAATGCTGCGTCAGCTGTGGGTCGGTGTATTGTTTAACTCGTTCAGCTATCGTTATGGTATGGCAGAAGTAAAGAAGGGGAATTTACAAGGGGTAGTCTTTCTTTTGTTAGACCAAATATTTATGATAACTAACAGACAACAATGCCAAGGAAAATTTAGTGGATGCTGTCTAATAACTGGGGTATACATATGGGGAGGCGGTGGAAGAAGCCACGACTTGCCGCTGACCGCGACCGAAGCTGAAACTTTCGAATCACGCGTCTGGCGTTCTATCCGTTGAACTACAGCGGTGGTCATCCACCCATCCACATTATTGGGTATATGTGGGCGCTTGAAACCCGGGGGTGCTAGTCGACGACCTGTTATCCATGTGACAGAGCCATCATTGTGCAGTAACTGCAACTGTGTAGAAACTAGATCCTCGCTTGTGCCTCTGTTACAAATTCAGACTCTCTTGTGTGCCTTAAGGAGACTCGATGATTGGCTCTTTACAGCAGGAAAGATCTTAGGAGTGTCAGCACAGAAGGCCACGCGAGCCCTGTACTTGGAGGCGACAGCATTGATCGAGTCACCACCTTGGATCGTCTACAGTGCGAACGTGTGTTTTGCCGTAAATGACACGGAAAGGGGTTCCTTTCGCCATTCGACATATTTGTGCGTTCGGCCCTACATCACATTCGTTGCAACAGAGGTCGAATTTCTCGCGCATTTAACAGCATATCCCAAGGGAGAGGAAAAAGTGGAACTGTCACAAAGCCCATTTTGCTTTGCCTAAGGCGACTTGAAGGCGAAAGCCATCTTGCTTCCGGTCGATTGTGCTAACTATTGCTGCCTCGTTCAAGGCACACTAAAGTGAAGCACTAATTTTCGACTGATGAAATACTTAATGAGAGCTCAAGTTTAGTTAATTCGACCAG